CTTGTGAAGTGAGGAAGAGCCAGTTGTGATGTGGGGGAATTCGTGGGGCAGCTGGATTGATGGGATAAAGATAGAAATTTTAAAAAGCAGGTGGGGATATTTTTTGGGAGGGGTTTTGTGCAATTTTTTAATAAAAGATGAAAGGGAAAGGTACCTAGGTTGGCGGGTATGCTAGTTCCTTTTTTAAAAAAGGGAAAAGGGGGGACAAAAAGGTGCAAAAATGGGGGGGATAATCTGTTAAAACCGGTAAAGTTTGGTAGATTTATTATTGAAAAAAATTAAGAGTAAGACGGAGAATAGGATAGCAGATGAACAAGGAGGCTTTGGGAAAAGGAGGGGTGTGGGACCAGGTTTTTACATTGAAACATATAATTAACAGTATTTGATAAGGCTAAAGAGGTTTTTGTGGCATTTAGGTTTTGGAAAAGGTATGACAGGGGGGATAGGGGGGGAATGTGGCAGATGTTCAGGTGTATGGTATAGGGGTAGGTTACTGAAAAACGTGAAGAGTTTTTTCGAGGGTTTGGGGGCTCAAGTTGGTATGTAGGGAAAAAGGGAAAATTTTTTCCCCGAAAAGAGGGCCTTGCAAGGAGTGTGTGTCACCGGGTTGTTTAATATATTTATGATGGGGTTTTAAAAGAAGTAAATCGAGGGTCTTGGCAAGAGGCGTGGGTTAAAAAATAAGGAATCACACATAAAGTGGGAGTTTTCACATTGCCTTTGCTGATACACGCTCTTTGGGGGATTTGAGGAAGTTTTCAGAGATTGGGGGGATATATTTTCGTAGGGTATGCAAAAGAAGAAAATTAAAAGTAAAAACAGGAAAGAGTAAGGTTATGAGGATAACAAAAGATAGGTGATGAAGATTGGGTATCAGATTGGAAGGAGAGAGTATGGAGGAGGTGAATGTATTCAGATATTTGGTAGTGGACGTGTCAGCGGATGGGTCTATGAAAGATGAGGTGAATCATAGAATTGATGAGGGGAAAAGGGTGAGCAGTGCTCTTAGGAGTCTGTGGAGACAAAGAACTTTGTCCTTGGAGGCAAAGAGGGGAATGTATGAGAGTATAGTTTTACCAACGCTCTTATATGGATGTGAAGCATGGGTGATGAATGTTGCAGCGAGGAGAAGGCTGGAGGCAGTGGAGATGTCATGTCTGAGGGCAATGTGTGGTATGAATATAATGCAGAGAATTCGTAGTATGGAAGTTAGGAGGAGGTGCGGGAATACCAAAACTGTTGTCCAGAGGGCTGAGGAAGGGTTGTTGAGGTGGTTCGGACATGTAGAGAGAATGGAGCGAAACAGAATGACTTCAAGAGTGTATTAGTCTGTAGTGGAAGGAAGGCGGGGTAGGGGTCGGCCTAGGAAAGGTTGGAGGGAGGGGGTAAAGGAGGTTTTGTGTGCGAGGGGCTTGGACTTCCAGCAGGCATGCGTGAGCGTGTTTGATAAGATTGAATGGAGACAAATGGTTTTTAATACTTGACGTGCTGTTGGAGTGTGAGCAAAGTAACATTTATGAAGGGGTTCAGGGAAAGCGGCAGGCTGGACTTGAGTCCTGGAGATGGGAAGTACAGTGCCTGCACTCTGAAGGAGGGGTGTTAATGTTGCAGTTTAAAAACTGTAGTGTAAAGCACCCTTCTGGCAAGACAGTGATGGAGTGAATGATGGTGAAAGTTTTTCTTTTTCGGGCCACCCTGCCTTGGTGGGAATCGGCCAGTGTGATAATAATAATAATAATAATAATAATAATTCTTTATATGGGATAAACGTTCTTTGGGCAGCATGTATAGTGTTAAGAAAGTTGTCATAATGTTAGCTCTCTTCTTTACCTCAGTCAACAGATGATAAGTGTTCCGAGTTGTTCCTATTATTGTACTTCCATTCAGTGCTAAAGGTAATTGATTTGTGGTTGCTTCTTCCAAGTTCCTCTGTAATTTATAAATTATTAACAAGGTTTCCTTGTTTGCCAAAACCAAGTCAAGCAGGTTATTTCCCCTCGTAGGTTCTGTCACAAACTTCTTCAAAAAACAATCCTGAACTACTTCTAAAAAGTCGTTTGATTCTAAATTCCCAGTCAAGAAATTCCAATCAATCTGACTAAAATTAAAATCTCCTTAAATTACTACTTTATCGTGCCTTGTGGCCTTAGCAATTTCCTCCCAAAGTAGCCTCCTTTGGTCCCTATCTAAGTTTGGGGAATGGCATATCACGCCTAAAATCTATTTTTCATGCCCCTTTGAAAATTCTATCCAGACTCTGTATGTGTTATTTCAGACTATACTCGCTTATATGAAACAATTTAAATGATCTCGGACATAGAGTGCCACCCTACCCCCCTTACCGATACTTCTGTCTACTTGAAACAATTTAAAACCCTGAATGTGACATTCAGCAGGCATGTCCCAATTTTTCATATTAAACCACGTCTCAGCTATGGCAAAAACATCAATGTTAACCGCACTTGCAACTAATCTCAATTTGTCCATCTTATTTCTCGCACTACATGTATTAGTATAAAATACAAATACGTTAAGAAAGCCTCCCTTCCCTTTTCTCTTCCTGCTGATTTCTGTTCCTCCACTATACCTGTCACTGTCTTTGTTACCTAGTGCCACTGGATTTCCAATATTCACCAGTAACTCTACCTCATTCTGCCTATTACTGGTTTCCCCTAAAACTCACAATTGCTACACCGAGAATTCATTTATTTTCCACAAAAACCCATACCACTATCTATTTCTAGTTTGAAGGCTTAACACTCCCTC